TTGAATTTTTATTCTCAACTCCGTTTTGCATTTTTGGAAATATTCAATGGTTGTAAAACTGATCTTCTAAACGATTGAATCGCTGATTCACGAGTGAATTCGGAAGTTCTTTGCGCTTTCCGACCGGAAAAAGCTCAGAAACGTCCTAAATCCTGCTAAAAACCGAAAAATCTTTCTTACAAAAGTGGAGCGATCGGAGTTGAGATTTTTGTTGACAGAGTTGGAGTTAGACTTGAAAAATTTTGAGCGAGGTTGGAATTGGTTTGGAGCTGGAGTTGAATTGAAAATTTGAAAACGGAGTTGGAGTTGAAAGTTAGCGGAGTTGGCCAGCTCTGATTTACACGGTTGTCAAAGTATTGAAATAGCTTTTTGACAAGTAAAACAAACATTAACCAAAGCTAAAAGATGTGACAATACACCTTGCCAACTTATAGCTGGATGTAGCACACATGATGATGTTAATTAATATTGTCGAAAAAATATTTTACATGCCAACTCGCAGATTTGTTTTAAACCTTTTATAATTATAGTGAATCGAGACCTTTTAGTATGAATGAATCTATGAGAAAAGAAGAGTTCAGTATTATGCGACCCAAATATATTGTTCATCTTTAATTGAAGATAATTAAGGCTCAAGAGAGAATGTCTGACTAGCGTCTTGTCGGTCGTTTCTTTTCACTCTATGCGCTTGTTATCAGCTTTATTTGGTAGTAATGGTGTACGAAAAAAAGAAAAAAAACAAGAAGAATGAGGCGAGCCTATTACAACTATTTGTTCTGTTTGGTGTTGTTTTTTCTTGGTGGTTATGAGATTAAAACTGATAAATAAAAAATTGTTGTTTTTCTTCTTTCAATCTTAGACTCTTTATTGACAACTCATTTGGAGTTGTCAGTTCTTGTTTGACAACATTATAGTTATGACTTCATCGTTGAAGGAACCTCTTCATAAATTAAATTATGAATGTTTATACAGGGAATGGTTGGTTATTAACTATTATGTTCCAGTGAAAAAATAATATTAACAGTTTTGTTTTCAAAAATTCTCATACACGTATTATGAAAGTGTACACTTGCTTCACGTATATATGAAAGTATTGGAAACAGAAAGTGATGCGAATGGGAGTTAGGTATTTCTACCTTGCACACCATTAGCAGCTGTACATAATGAGTAAAAGTTAAGTTAAGTTTTCTGTACACCATTAGCAGCAGCATGTGCATATTACACATGCTGCTATGGATGGCGAACGCACCCTATCGATTTTAATAAATCTCTATGAGTGTTACAAGGGTTCCTCCTTGAGTTGATTTACGCAGCAGTTTTTTACGTCAGAGTATTAAACATGACATATATCCGTTATTCCAATGAGAACCAGATTGATGCTTGATGTTCAGGCTTTGTAAGTCTATCGTCATTTATAGATAAAATAACGAGCATTCTTTTTCTGACAAATGTCAGAGATTAAAGAAACGCCAATATTATGACATATGGTAATAATAGTTTGCTTTCGTTTTTTCTTTTGTTCTTTTGTATGATCTTTCCTTTTTTTGCTATATTGTACTCAAGTGTCGTTTTTCTTCTTTTTTATTGCCAAAGTTTTTCTCTCGTCATTAATCTATTGACATATTATTTATCCTTTCCGCTTCTGACTGTCATATAATTCTTATATGTTTGCATCTGTCACAATATTTGTTACTGTAATTCACTTGAAATACCACTTTCTTCTAAGTAAGTTGGATTTCCTCGATTTCACGAATTATTTTATGGAAAAAAGAGCGGGACTCTCGACTATGACGCAGTGATAAGTTTTTTCGTCTGTTTTCTGTTCGACTGGTTTTGGCGTGAAAAGACTTCAACCCGGTTTGGACCTTTTAGAAAACTGGTTTGTCTCGGCTCGAAGTACAAAAGCACGAGCAGGTCCCATCTCTGAGGAGTAGCTGCAATCACTCTACGTAATGGGAACGAAAACTAATGAGCGTCGTATTCGACGATGGTTTTTTCTGGTTGAAATTCAGTAAATTACACTTAGCCAGGGACAGCATTAGACTTGTGCGGTAACAAAAAAATTCCATTCCATTATCTTACCATTGTCAGAGTAATGGTAAGAAGCTAATTTTGATTCCTGGTAACAGATGGTAAATTCATGGTAATAGTAGTAGTAATGGACAGTTTTCATATTTCAGTTCGCAATCATACCATCTCTTTATTATAAGTAGTATCGTATATCACTTTGGTATATACAATATAGCCAAACGTTATGTAACGTTCAGACTAGTCCACGATTTTTATTTGTTTTCTGCCTTATGCACGTGTTTTTATTTTTCTTTCCTTTCTGTAAGAATATACTGTATTACCGCGGAAATTCCAGTACCATTACTATGCCTTACTACGGTATGGTAAATGGTAACGAAAAAGTCATGGTAACAGGATTCTAGACTGTTCTGGACTGTCCTTCCAGTAAAGACTTCCTGGTAAGTGGTGAGGAGGATACTGTAGTCAGTCAGACGGACATTTGCGATCCTCATGTTCTGAGAGGCTCCGGTTCTGAGCATCTGAGAGAGAAGGCGTCCGATGGTTTATAAGAAATACGACTAAAAAACGTCTGTGATCCAACAGCAGAAAATTCTAGTAAAAACGTTCTATGGTATTTATGGGTGATAGCACTTTCGTCACATAGAAAAAAGAACTTTCGTCATACCGCATCGCGAACTTTTGTCACAACCCAAAAAGAAGTACTGGACTACTCCAATTTGGACTGTTGCAGGGTGGACCACCTCAGACCGAACTACTCTCAATCGCAATAGACGCTTGATTTTGATATTTTGACTCTAGAAAAGGACTTCAAAAGGGTTTTACGCGTTTCGCTAAGAAAATACCATGTTTGTACAGAAAAAAGCAAGAAGTTATTCCTCCAATTTGCACTGCTACAGTTTGCATTACTGCAGTTGGGACTACTCCAGTTTGCACTACAACACTATGAACTAATGAACTTTACAATAAACCTTGATTTCATCGCAGCCGTTTCATGCAACGTGTGACGAAAGCACTGACCTGTCTAAAAGACCGGACACTTTCGTCACATAACGGGTTAACTTTGGTAAACACTGTTCGAATATGGTTAAACTTTCGTCACATGCCGCAAGGACTTGGGTGAATTTTTGTCACTAGAAAACAGAATTTTTGTCATGTGGCGAAAGTGCTGTGAACCGTATTTATGACTGAACAAAAGAGTAATATCTTAACATGGTTTAGAGGACTGGAAGAGGTAGAACAGATGAACAATTTAGAGCCAATAAAATACTTAAAATGAACTTTTAAATAACAGCAGCAGTCATGTATATTTTAATTACAAGAAGAGAATTCGAGAGTCAGGAAATACAACGGGAAGTACTGCACACCTCGTACCATCTAAACTGGGATTCATTGACATAATAGATGACAACTCCTTGACTAATAAACTATACTTCATATTCTCTACTATATTTCATTTATCCCAATATATGCAATGACACGTGGATGTTTGCACTCAACTCCCACCTATACACAACTTTTAGCCTGCAAGATTTCACTACGCCAAAAAGAGTTTTGAAAACATGTGATTGAAATAAAAAGGTTACCTTAGGGAATTTCTTGCTTAAAGTAGAATATTGCTGACTTTTTTCACCAGTTTGCGCACGACTTTGTCAAATACAAAATATGGTTTTAGATGAATCGAGTAGACACATTGAGTTACCGCTGCATTTTAGCTTCAAAAGTTGACAGACAAACAAAATACCGATGCTTTCTTTCGAGACCCATTGCTGTCAGTCAACGAATAATTCGCATTACTGAGTAGGCCTGCACCAAACCACTAGTTCGGTGACCGAACAGTTCGCTACTGAACATTTTCGCTGCCAATTAGCAGGCCCTAGCTCGGGATGGTTGCACGCCTGATCCGGACTACACAAATTGAATGAAATTGAAGCTTCTGAAGGAACTAACCAGTGAGACAATAGATTAACTAAAGTACAATGTAAACGAATGTGTCTTCTACCAGATCACTACCGAACGTGTTCGGACGAAGATTGCAAATACAATAGTTTATATTTTTCTCATCAGACACATCAACGAGCGCTCTGCTGACAAACTAAGGACATAGTACCATAAACCTTATAAAGATACATTCAAATTAGAGCTGTAACTGTCTGTCTACTTTTTTTTCGCACAGTGAGGAAAACCATTTTTTGCATAAAAAAACAACAAAAAACAAAGTAAATCAATCTGCTATACAGAGGTCACGTTAGTAAATAATTAGAGAGTAAATCAGATATAATGGAAACTAAAGGTACTTTCAACTTCCTGGAATAAAGCAAACATAAATTTGCTGCTCGGATTCAAACTTTTCTTTACATGACTACCTATAGGTAGTTATGTAAAGACGGCGTAGCCGTACACGGCTACGGCGTAATCAAGGCTGCTCCTCCGTTTGATGTAATCTTCACCATTTTAGCTGTTATTTTTGCAAAGATTTCTTTCATATGTTACTTCTTTCTCAAGTTCTTAGCTTTGACAAACTACTTTTTTTAAACCTTTGGTAGCGATCCGGTAGAAGACACATTCGTCCACATGGTACTTTAGTCTATTTTCTCACTGATTAGTTCCTTCAAAAGCTTCAATGTCATGCAATTTGCCTGTAGTCCAGATCAGGCATACAATCATCCTAAGCTAGGGCTCGCTGATCGGCAGCGAAAATGTTCAGTAGCGAACCGTTCGGTTACGAACGGTTTGGTGACCGAACATGTTCGGTACCTATTAGCGATTCCGGTGCCTATTAGCGATTCCTAGTTTGAAATTGTTGCATGCCTATTACTGAGGCTTCTGAGAGAACTTATTTCGTATCGCTATGCTCTTCATAAGACGTACCTTCCGTTGTCCTAGCATCTGCATCAACTACACAAAGAGGAGTTGCACAAGTTTACGTTGATAGATGTTTATTGACTTATTCATTTCGTTTTGTATTCAAGATGAGTAATTCTTCGCCGTCAGATTCTTCCATTATTATTGCTAAAATCCCTGATGAAGTTTTATGTGAAATATTTTATCGTATTCGTTCATTACCTTTATTATTACTGGCATCGCGAACATGTCGTCATTGGCGAAACATTATTTTTAATGAATGGTTTTTTAATAACTATTATTCCGTTAAATATCGTGGACGAAATTTAATTGGCTGGTGGAAATTCGATGATAAAAATCATATTGGTCGTGATTCGAGCGGTTTACTGGGGAATCGTTACACATTAAATGGTTCACCACAAATAGAACAATGTATCCTCGGTTGTAATTGTTGTGTATTTGATGGTCATTCAGTAATTAAAGTTCCGGTTGATGACAAACTAGAATATCAAATTGATAATTTTTCAATATCATTATGGTTTTTAGCTGAAGATGATTTGAATTATGGATGGAAAGTATTTTTAGCTGCATGGGATGAACCTAATAATTATTGGATGCATATTGGTTTTCATGATAGATCTATAGAAAGTCAAGCAATGATATCACCAACATATCGTTATCAATTTAATTGTAAAGCAAGAAATATGATAATTCAATCAAAAACATGGTATCATCTTGTTGTGAGATATAGTCGAAATAATAAACAAGATATATGGATTAATGGAAAATTACAGACTCAAGTACACATGACGACACCGAATGGTGTAACAACAATATGGAATAAACCAATATTTTCTTCATCTCCCCCACGATTATGGTGGTCATCACAAAAAATGTGTATGCCCGATGCATTATTTATAGGTGCTAAAAACGAAAAATATACTTATTCATGGTCTGGTGGAAAATTAGCTGATATAACTATATGGAATAAATTGTTAGAACCAATTGAAATAAGAGCAGCATATAGAGAAAAAGTTTCGATTGATAAATTGAATGTTGGAACTTATATATTTCAATAATAAAGAATCTTTTGTATTTCTTATTTCAATTCACAAGTCTTTTCACACAATAAAATTTGTATTCGTGCAAGTGTTGTTAGAAGTACTGACAGTGTACTCGTAATTCGGGCGGTCGAGATCAGTCCAATTTTGAATGAAAGTCGGTGGGTAGAATAAAACGTTTGTGCTGAAAGACAGAAAAATGCTTTTACTGCTGAGAAAAATGAAAATTTTCAATTATTTAGTGGGGATCACTCGCAGGACCCTCATCTGGTGGCGATAGTCTTGCTCGTAATTGCCCACTTCGTCACTCCATTTGAAATGAAGTATTTTTTAATTAATCTGATATGTGTGAATTTTTGAATTGAATTTTGAGTTTGACTAAGCCTTGTCTTCTGTCGGTGGTGTTCGACAAGAAAGTAAGAGATTGATATAATGTATCGGTATACGCACGACTGGAGAAGTTTTTTTGATAGTTATAAGCAAGACTCAAATTATTTTATCGTTAATATAAATGAAAAATGAAAACTTTTATGAAATGATTCAATCAACTTTCGAAACTCTATAAAAGCTTTGACACTGTGCTAGCTTAAAAATCGGTGACCCGGGTTAAACGATTGATAGGTTGAAATTAGTTTCCAGTAGGATAGATAATGCTTTTCGAAATGGCTTTATTTAGGCCAATTGTCGGCGTATCATCTTATTTTTTTGAAACATTCCCCCAAGCGGAACTGTAGAGAAAAGTCTGATAAAAAAATAAGATTTTTGATTAACAGCTAAGGGTGGCACTTTCTCTTTCCTATCTCTTTTTTTTATTAACAAAAGAAAAGTTTTGCGTTTTATTTACAACAAAAAAGAGTAAAGATATAATGTATATCTTTTCTTTTCCAAAAGAAAGAAAAGCGCTATCTTTTCTTTTTTCAAGAAAAAGACTTTTTTTTGCACCTTTTAAGAAAAGTTTTTTTTCTTGCAAAAGAAAAGATATTGCTTTTCTTTATTGGGGAAAGCAAAGGTGCCACTTTCCCTTTTCTTAGGAAAGAAAAGGTATGGATTATATCTCTTTACTCTTTACTTTTGAAATAAAAGATACCACTTTACCGTTACTCTGGAAAAGAACGGGAAAGTTCCACTCCTATTAACAGCTGATTTGATTGAGTTTTCCAAGTTAATCACCAATATTATGTGTATCAAACGAAAGCATTTTGCAGCGGTTATCAATCAACATTAACCGCTGTTGATTAAGGAACAAGGATAAAGAGACTTGTCTTTCTAATGAATAAATTGTCTTTGCAGCTGAATTATTCATCATTTATTTCTATTTGTTAATAAGCTGTCGAATATTCAATATTCATCGTCAAATAGATACAGACAAATTTAAAAACACACATTGAACTGCTCACGCACATATATAGGGTGTCCAGAAAGTCACTAGAGTTGCAGAAAATTTCAAAATCTTCATGACTCTTCAACCAAATGAGTTGAATTTTTTTTCTGACGGTAGAAGACAAATAGTAGTTTTATTTATGAAGGAACGGTCCGTTTATAGGCATCAACTCGCCAATTTTTTCTTCAATGCACGACCAGTTAACTACGCACAAACATTTGTTGTTCATAGCTATCATGGAATACTGTTGAATATTCTTTTATTTTTTTATCAAGTAATGTAGTTGATATGTAATGCGATATCATTAGTATGAAAGAAATTGTCCTTCGTTGTTCAAGCTAGGCATGCACCGGTTACGGTTAACTGTAACCGGTCATAACCGTAACCGTAATAACCGGTCGAACGGTTAACCGTAACCGTGAATAACCGGTCGAACGGTTAACCGTAACCGTAACGCAGGCCGTGAAAAATGAGCCATAAATGACTCATTTATGGACCATATATGGCTCATTTTTAGATCATATCTCTCCCACATTTATCTCATTCATTATATTATAATATAGTGATAATTTTGTCATTTTTCTATATGGACTATAAACGATGAATGCCGTTTGTTTGTACGAACGACACACTGATGCACTTCAAATGCAGAAAAATGGTCACTAACG